AGGTACGGAAAGCACCACTGTTCTTGGCAGGTGACGACTTGGCAAGCATAACACACGATCCAGCCATCCCAGTTTGCAGTTCTGGGTGTATTCTTTGAGAAAATCGTCGTCTGCTTCAGCCAAGACCCTTATCCTGATCACTTCATGTTGAATTTGCTGGTTTCAGACGATTCCAGCCATAGTCGTGAGACATCGGGCAGTAAAGATTTTACATATGCTCCGCCCAAAAGAGGACAATTCTCGCATCTGTAAGCAATACAGCCCTGACTGCAGTCTAATATACGCGTTCTTTGTGGTCCAGAAATATGCCCTCTTGAGGCTGCAAGTTGCACAACTTAGCGAAAGCAAGTCTGACCTTGGAGATTCGTGCGTCCACTACGTCCGTCATGCCAATCCCATGAGTAATACAAAATTCGAGATGCGTGTAGCCTTTTACAATTTCCAGTGTCACTTCATGAATTCTTAGAGGCATTTCCCAAGACTGTACTTCCCACACATTGATTGGAATAAACTCAGCGATTCTCATAGACTGAACTCTGTACATTTTAGTTTCTCGTGTCACACATTCAGGCACGATTAACGGGGAAGAATTACGTAAGGTGCGATCTGGAACCATTTTATACAGGCTGATCATTTTTTACGCAGGTAACACGGTGAAAAATAACAAACAAAAGCGATCAAGCACATTTTTTGTAATAGTGGGTGATTCCACTTATCACACAGACCAAGGCATGTCTAATACTTTAGAGCGGAAAGCATTGATTTGTGGCAAGTAATCAATAGAGGCTTAACAAGCTCCAATATAAGCAACCGTTCACATCCCAGCAGAGCTTCAAGTAGATATGAACGAACTAGTTTGTTTTGAAGGCATGTCTAACAATTGGCGATGGTAAAGTTCGACCATGTCACTCTAATGGCCTTGTTCCGTAACCAAGAAAAGCTTGCTCCTGTGACATAATGGGTTCTCTTTGTTCGCCTCTCAAATTAAAATCAGCCTCGCTACATGCGAAACGACAAATAAGATCAAAAGACGGAACAGAATCTTTTTTTGAAACGCTAGGCATTGTGTTCGCAAGGGCATTTTAGTTGATCGATACAATGTCTTCTCTCTGAATAAAGTTTAAATTTTACCTTGACTTGACTTTTGTGACAACTGCTCTTAAATGGCGATGCAAAAAACTGTCAGTCACTGTCAGTTTTACTTAAATAGCCCAATAGTGCCAACCAAGAGATCACAAAGACTTTAATACTGGTCACTGCGCATTGTTGTCGACACTTGGCTTTACTTTTTTCTGGGATTATACGGTGCCAGAGTATCTGACAAATTTTCTAACCGCTCGTCTTGTTAGATCGTTCGCGATTCAGGTTCCTCTAACAGGGTCTTACAATGTAGCGGACAGTAGGGTTTTGTTTGGGGACTCTCCCCGGAGCCGATGACTCAACAGTCTGACCATCTCGGCTGCAGGGAGGTGGCTCAACCCGAAGGCGCAGGGAATGAGACATTACTCTCTCATTCCTGATGCGGCTGCGCGCACTAGGTGCCTTCTGAGCAGCACCGGGCTCTTTGCTTAAAAGTATTCCGACCGGTCGGCGGTCACGATCAACCGTTGGGTGATCGGAGTCCCCGTCCTTCCTCGGGGGAAGGCAGCGTCGCAGCTTCCATAAATATGGACATGCTGGTCGCCTGGGGGAAACACCTTACTGCCTTCACACTCCTGTCGCAGAGGACAGTACGACTTTACCCCCAGACCGCCTCGTAGCACGATTACTCGTAGTACGGGGTCTCGCTGTTCTTGGTCTGGCTGCTCCCTTTTGGCCTTCCTGGCATAGTTGCACCTTGTGGAACGAAGTTCAAGCCAGTGTAGCCCGCGGGATCATTGCAGCACTGAAGCCCGACCACCACGTCAAGGTGGTCAGCAGTTTCATGCCCAATAGGGGAGAACGTTTAGAGTTTCTCACACTGCTCACTTCAAGTTTTTTTTCCGCAAAGTAAAAGCTGAGTGTACAAGTAGGGATTTCTCGTTAGTGGAGCACACAAAAAAACGAAATTTGTTTTCGAGATGAAACTCACAGGTTTGGATAAGGCAGGAACTGAACACAGCTTTTACCATCTAGCTATGTTTGTTCAGAGTACTGATGCCTTAAGACAAATCCAAGTTGAACTACCTAGCCTTGCCATCAAACTTCCAACAGGACTACCTATCATGGCTTCACATTATTATTTGTCTGGAAACCAAGAGGGAACCAGCAAATCAATTTGGTTTTCTCGAGGGAATCAACTGATTCTCTCGTTTATGATATTCTACGACTGAATGTGCTGCACACTCAGTTGTAGACTATCATAAACGAGAGATTCAGTTGATCTCGTGAAAACCAAATTGATTTGCAAATGAGTGTATTTCTCAAAAACAGTCCATTTTGGGTAGAACACAAGGTTGACAGAAACCCGGGGACTGCGCCTTCCTGATGAGCCCCAAGAAGGGTGAAACCGGTTGGGGACTGTCGAAGAGTTTTCAGCAGCCTTGTGAGTAGTTTCCCTTATGAAGTTTTAGTTTTAGCCCCGTTAATCCGAGGCCTTTAGTGTGTCGCATTAAAAAATATGATGGTTCCGAGCCAGTTGATTTTCCAGTCTTACAAAACGGTCATCATCTTACATGTATATCCTATATTTGCCAACTTAAGCACTGCCGTTTGAGCCGGAGGTTTACGAGGGCTCGGAAGAAACTGGCCGGTTTTTAAGGGACGATTTAGGTTTATCTCCATCCATTTATTGAAGTCTTCCCTTGGATGCTTTTGGATGAACAGTCATATAGCTTCTGTTCTAGGTCAGTGAGTAGAAGTTCGAAGTCGTCTTTGGGTGCCCAAGTTGGGTTTAGAATTTGGTGATCTTGGGATATAGGGGATCTTTAGAGCAGACTGATAGAAGAAGTGTTGACAAGCGAGTGTTTTCGGTAATTCGGTCAATGCAAATACAAGGTTATAAGATATAGCTAAAATTAGAAGTGGACTGGACCGTATCAGGTGACCTTGACCAGAGGAAGAATTATCGGAAAAGCTCGTTCGTCAACAAGTCGTCAGAGTAATTGGCGTTAAAAACCTCGTTTTATGTTGCTGAAACTGAGTAGTAAGTGGGCTTTGATGTGCGCTCCGCGGGTTTGTCTACGTAATGCATATTCCATTATTGTCCATTATTCCATTTAATTGTCACCCAGATATCACACTCTTTCGGTGTCTTCTTTCGGTGTCTAACTGCCATTCCGCCCATAGGAAGCAAGTGGGCTGAGGTATTTCCAAGCTTTTAAGCCTGTATGGAAGCAGCGAGAATCTGCAGTTAGGCTCAAACCACGGACAGTCCGGTCATTAATTTCAGGCCCTAACCACCGAGCTATCCCGAGCTCAACAAAGACATTTACCGTTATACAAATTTGTAAGTGCCTTTTGTTAGTGTACTTTTGGTGCCACAGATTCACATCAAGCTTCCAACTTTGGCAACAGTTTTGAGGTTTTTGAGCGCCACTTAAGTGATTTCCTTGAAGAAACAGCTGGTCCGTAACAATATCATCAAACACATCAGTCGTTTGGCGCAGCAGTTAGTTGTTAATTCGGTACAGCAGGAAACGGTTTTCCACATGGATATGAGAGTTTGCTTGCTTGAGTACCGGGTCAGAACTTGCTACGAATTCCATGTTGTAATAACTGCCACTTTCATAGAAGCTTTATTAAATTTGCACTGATTACCATGGCTCCTCGAGCAGTGTTCATACGAAGGTGTTTCCCTGCTCATTGTAATCCTTCGTCAGCCTTAAATCAGGTCAACCCGACCAGTGGGACTCGTTGTAGCAACAACTGCAGTTGGGCGTAAACGAAAAAATGGTAGCCCGACACTCCGAACAAGACAAGTGGACAGACAAGTGAAACATTTCACAAAATTACTGCCACATCTGTACAAATAAGTGTTTCCTACTCCCCAATGATCGCTCACATTTCACAAATTTGAACATGGTCGCCAGTCCTCGTGTGTGATCACAACGCACTCGCCTTGCAAGTCACAGGACCAGAATTCAAGTTCCGATATCATTCGTATTCAGGACCAGTATGAGCAAAACTCGAACCCTCCGATGTGACCTCCTAACCAGAAGAAACACCGCTGGGGTGGGAGGAGATTTATCTAAAAGAGGGTGATGTGGGCGCTAAGAGAAAACTACCGTCCACAGCAAACATCATCACCGTGTCATTTCCGTGCAACGCCCAGTAGATTCTTCAGTACAAGCGCTTGAATTGGAACGTCACACACACAGGACTGAAGTCGAACTTGTGCATAGGGCCTCTGTTGATGAAGCATAAACCGATTCAGTCAACCCAGTTCCTGCTATGAGGTCTGTTTGAGCATTTCACACCCCAGCCTGCACCAGATATACAGAGGAAATGACTTGTGTGGTCTTCTAGATGAATAAAAAGATTCGCTTGTGTTTGGATAAGACAATCAGTTAAGATCAATGTTCATTGTTCACTGATCATCGTTTATTGTGAAGCGCATACCAGTTCAAATCTACCTTTTTGGTGTTATCCTTTGGTTTTGTTTGCTTTCTTCCGTATGCTGGATGTTTCAAAACACGTCCATGTATCTAGTGTGAAAATAATCAAGTCGAACAGCACTATCTTACTGCCTGTTCGACAGCAAAAACACCGTTCTTTGTCCCATGCTGAGTCAGTAAGATGGAGCTAAGAGACACTCGAAGACAAATAGACGGTTTGAACTTCAATATGAAACGAGTGTGTTTGGGAATTGGTCACCCTCGTGTGTACTCTGAGCTCGTCAACATGAATCAAGGCTTCAGATTGTATTGGGCAGACAAAACGCTACTTTTTCCATCGAGTAGTTTTGTGTAGTTTTGTGAATTTCAAAAAACACTTCCATTCTTGTCACTAAACTGGTTACACACCGCAAATGATCCCCTTTTTTGATGGGTTACTAGGCGACGTTTGTTCTTTCTTTACAGGTCTTGGCCCTTCTCGCGAGTATTCTGAGCCTAATCCTGTTCATCATCGGCACAGTCAGCACCTCCTGGATGTTTACAAACAACCTACGACTGGGAGTGTTCCAGCAATGTGATCAATTGTCATTGATCGAAATGGACCCCAATCCTGAATTCGTGTGCTCTTTCGATTATCAGAGGACATGTGAGTTTTACTGACCTTATTTCCCCCAGCTAACCGCACAGATATCCGCATATTCTCGGTTTTTTGGTTCTTTGCAAGAATACCGGTTTTGTCTTGTATTGTCACATTTGCATTCAGCGGTTGAGTACTATTCTATGATGTACCCTCCACAGGGTTGTATCTANTGTCACATCTGCATTCAGCGGTTGAGTACCATTCCATGATGTACCCTCCACAGGGTTGTATCTAAAATATAAAAATGAACATGTAGCGAACAAAATAGCAAAAATCGATCACATTTCTCATGTAGTCGGTTTTAATGAATAGATTTGAATCAGAAAGGACTGTGGGGGCCAACATAATGCTTGAGAGTGTTTTGAGAGAGATATTTTGCTCAAGTATTTGGTAAGGTCAGTCACAAATAAGACCCCGACCATGAATTTTCAGGAACCGGAAGTCAGACATGTTCAAAGCAGGACAAGTTGATCTAGAACGGTTCGCCTTGTCATACGTAACTACTAGCCAAAACGTTCTCTGAATGACACCATCCATGCATAGCTGATGAGTTCCAATCAAACAAATACCCTTGTTTAACTGAGCGCTTTCTGGATCGGTGGCGTACTTACCCCTACTTTCATCTGGGTCTTTGAGATGAGCTACTCCCTAAAATGCCCAGCACAAGTGCAATTCTTCTCTGAAACGATCGTGCGAGCAGTAGCAAGAATTCTGCGTTAGCTAATACGAGGAGAGATTCAGTTGAGAGATGGTTCACTAACCCCCTAGAATAACATTGGTTATCGTCGCCGTCAAACACTAGTAACAGAGGAAAATTCAGCACCTTTGTGACAAATTATTCCGTTTGTTCTGGTGACAAATCTCACTCAAAGTGCTTTTTAAATAATGTTTCATACTAGGAAAGAAACACTTATTAAACCCAGTCTAAGTGCATCATCTCTTCTAACACCACTGGAGCGGCCAATTTGGTTTACAATCTCCGCATGACGTACATCCTTCTGTGACCAGTGGATCTCACTTACCAGATCCAACCAATTCTTCAATAGATACGTGCTCGCTATTAACCCGCAGAGTTATCCTGTTTATATTTCGTCACTGTGAGCGAAGCTAAAGCAATTTTGTGTGGCTGTGATTGAGAAGGCGTCCCAAGTCCGTGCAGAAAAAATAAAATCGAATAAGGAAACAATGACTGGAAATATTTTTATACACTTCTGTGCGTATACTGTCATCTTCCAGGATGTCCCATCTAGGCTACTTCTACGGGTCGGATGTGTCTTGATAGCACTGGTTACACTTCAGAAATGATGATTCAAAGTGCTTCTTTACTATGGGTCTGCCACCGAATATTCGAATGCGAGCTAATTACACCGTGGCCAAACAATCGAGTGCTCAACTGCCATCCAGGAGGTCACGGATCGGGAACTCTTTGAAGTTCGTTGGATTTGAGCTGTTGCTAATCTCCAACAGGGATTAAACAACTCTACAATTGTCAATGTGTCAAAATATAGTGACCAAACGTTCAAGTGCTCAACCGCCAACCAGAAGGTCACGGATTCGGAACTCTTTGAATTCCATTGGATTCGAGCTGCTGTTGATTCCCACCAAGTTTGAGGCAACTGTACCATTGTCATTGTAGCAAAATATAGGTAGCTCGGATGTGTTTACTGGTGGCTGATCATATGTTCGTTGATCTGTTCGCCGAGCTTGGCGATTGTTCCGCAAACGTTTCGTCCCCAGTCGAGAAGAAATCGTCAGTGCGCACGATGACGTTGCGAACTGGGAATGTCTCCCGGACTGTGGACGAAACGTTTGCAAGCCAACTCATCGTCAGTGCGCAGTAGACGACGCGCACTGCGCCCGATGGCGTTGCGCACTGACGAGGTCTCCTAGACTGGGGACGGAACATTTGCAAGCCAACTGCCAAGGTCGATGACCATCTGATCAACCACCACAACTGCACCGTAATAGGCGGATCTTCAGCATAGATTGGCTTCACTGACGAGAATAAATCCGGAGCAGAAATCAAGTCTTGGGATATGTACTCTTCTGGAGGAGGGCTTTTTAAACGAGGGTGCTATGGATGAAAAATATACGGGTGTCCCGGTCAGCCACATTGAATGTTAATTCAAATATTCAAAAAATATAATGACGACTGGCTGTACGAAACTACTAAACGGCTTGCAATCAACAAGTGAACTTCCTTAGAACCCAATACTGCTTGTAGGCAGTAATCATTATATCCATATTCAATAAAAATTGATCTTAGTAGGGCGAAATAAAATGCTCAAAATGTTTTGTGGGAATCCCACTTGATTAGCAAAACGTTGGTTTGTTCAATTGTTTATCAGCTTGATCGGCTTGGGAAAGATTTGCGACTAGCCCTGTGACGTTGCTATCCGGTAAAGATCAAATCATGGTTTAGGAAAGAACGAGACCAATATTCGCCTCCTATAGTCATAATATAGATCCCAACATGAAACGAATCTTGCGCTGGAGATACGTTGCGTAACGGAAATTCGAACTGCCTATCTTCTTTTTGAACGAACAAGTCTCACTACTCTAAACTTGCAAGTAGCCAAAAAGCATTGCGCATGAGTACTGCGCTGGCGGATTCCGTAGGGTGAGCTCCTTGCCTGGCGAGGCCGGGTGATCTTGTGAGAATCGTTTACTGTTCCACGACCAACTGCCACACAGTATTCATGTGCCTGTCAGTCTGAAGTCCAGCCTGCCCGACGTACAAGACACATCTAAGTGACAGGAAACGGACACACATGCGTTTTTGTGACCTCAAAATCGTCCCCGTCGTCCGATATCGACGGGGTGCGTACAAGTCTACGCGCATGAACTTATCCTCGCAAAATTCAGTGTTCGATTCAACAAGAAAGCGAAAACTCTTGCGCTAGTCGACTTGGAGCAATGTAGGACTTCATACTAGCCAACAGCCTCCTACGACCTACCGTCTCCAAAACTCTCAGGTCCTCTGAAGCCGCGAACCAATATTATTGTTGTTGGTCATGCAGTTTCTAAGCTGCGATTGTGCTGCTGGCTGGAACTGTGTATTCCTTCACGGAAGTTCTCATCAAACTTTCCGTAGAAAATATGATTTGAACGCGTTCCTTTCGAATTAAATATGTCCTGTGCATTCCACGGTTAACGAGCTTATAGATGTCGTTTGATGTTCGTGTCAATTCACCTGACGTTAGTCACGCACCTTGAAATGTGGCCAAGTTCCGTCCATCACGAATACAGCTCCTGCTTTATCAAGCGCAGTTCGCATTTGTGTGCGTCAGATTTGTGAAACGGTTAGTCGCTGATTGGTGTTGAAAGATTTTACTGTATCCTCATACACACCCCATTTTCGGATCCTGATATCGGACGACCATCGTTTTTACGGGTTACAAAAACGCATGTGCGTCATTCCCCTGTCACCTGGATGTGTCGTGTATGTCTGTTGGATAAGGAAGCCTTCAGCTCGGCAAGCACACGAATACGGTGTGGTACTGGTCCGTAGCAAAAGCGTTACATTGGAACAGTGAGCGATTTTCTTAAGATCAGCCGGCCGCTCCAACCATACAGTGTGTGACATACAAACCGCACCATAGGTGCATACACTCGAAGAGGGCAGGTGTGCTCACGAATACAACAGGGTTTCTTATTCGGACATAATCGTTATTTGTAATAGAATCAGGCCGTAATTAGAATGCCATGCCGAAAAATCGTTCGTTACTGCATTGGGTTCTCCGCGAAAAGAATTCTGAGTTCATGAGTGTCCTAAACAGTGCAAGTAAAGGCTATAACAGCAGAATAACATAATAACATAATGCAGTTCACATGTATTTCAACAGTGAACTGTCCTCAGTTAGGTCCTATGCTAGCATCAACCCACAAGATTGACGGGCGATCAACCCCAGGGGCTTAGAATAGTGCATTACATAGGGCTTTAGTAGGTGTGGACACGTGACAAATTACCCTGTTAAACACCAGATAATTGTCAGCATGTAAACACTCCTGCTTTCTCGAAACCAACACTGACCCATGTGTGAGTTCCGTTGATTCTAAAGCTAAGCACTGCTCAACCATTGAAGTTTTGATGTTTGTTATCGACACCAGCTGAAACATTGAGACCACTGCATTATCCTGTGCTTCGATTTATGGACTTCCTTCATTCCCATTTGCCTTTGTTTCAGTTGGCATACGACTGACAGCTGTCACCTAAGGAATGCCATGCTTGCTCCCAAACTCATACGTATCTAACATCGATCTCACAGCTACACCGTAAACATAGCCACTGTGGCGTCAAATTACCGTAGACTTGTGCACGCAGTAAGGGTTCAAGAAAGCAGCCCAGTCTCAATAGTGGATCATCCCTGATCCCATCCAATCAGCATCACACAAACCGATTTTATTGGACGTCTGAATTCTCGGCTCCGCTATCCGAGACAGCTCGCACTGCCAAATCACATCAAGAAAAAAGACACAGGCATCGCGATCGTACAACTGTCGTTCACTCTGGTCAACATTTCCTCATTCGTGCGCTTTCATGTGTTAGTTATCTGGTTGTAACGTAATTGGGTTGATTATCAGAAAGGGACAAGCACTAACAAACGTCTGTTTTACCAGAATGGTGATGATTACAAAGCTATTTGCACTTGATAAAAATAAATACAACGCAAGAAGGGAAAAGCCAAAAAGTGACTTATCGCTTGAGGAAGTCGTTTGAGTGAACTTCCGGACGCGGGGCATGTATTCTCTGCAGTGTGCTTCGTAGTTTTCCGTCCAGGTTTGTAGAGCTCGATTGACTTTCTGTCCTGTGCGCGCGTGTCGTTGAGCCGAGTTGTAGATCTATTTATTGTGTGAAGTTCAAAGTGAGGGGTGTTCATTCGTGTTCGATAATTTTACGAACATGAATACAACTTGACCTGATGGGGTTAAAGTTCGTGAGCCTGGCGCTTGACGCAAGTGCTAGCCGCGTAAACAAGAATGGATGGGAATTTGTGGTGTACATG